CTCGATATAGATCATTTTTTTATTTTTAATTTTTGTGTTATTTTTATTACTTAAGATGACCTCATATGCATATGTCTTGTCATCCAGTGTTTGCATATATAATTCATGCATGACAAAACAGATGCACATGAGGTCTGTTCTTCACTGTTTGGTAATAGTGGGGAACAAAAATGTATACTATAAATTATAGCTGTGTTTTTATCCAAGCATGGTTTTATTACCACCAACAGTCACTGTTTGCTATATATATATATATATATATTTAGAATTGGTTTAATAACACTTTCAATCTTGAATATTTCTTGGTTGTTGTATCGGAGTGTCTATGTCAATGTATGTGGGTGTATGTGCGTGTCTTTATTGGTGTCTATGTGTATTATAAGTTGGCTAACTATTTGCCCATATCTGGGACCCTAACAGGTGCTACCACCCCAGATGAGGGTGGATCTGAGAACATCAGCAATTAAGAAGTAGTAGGTCGGTGCCTGTCTTTTCTTTTTATAATTCCTTCCCTTTTTTTTTATTGTCCAGCTTAGGACAAGGAAGAAAGAATTTTATAATTATAAATGTTATATTTAGTGTGTAGAAATGTTTAAACAATCATGTATTTGTGGAAAACAAAAAAAAATAATTGTTTACATTCACTCCTCATGTAACTACAAATCTCAATATTATTAGTTGTTATTCACCCACTTCTTTCTTTCAAACAATCTCTTCCCACACCTTAGCACTCTCTTCTCATTCTCTCCTCTCTTTCCAGATGATTCTCTTCTCATCACCCCTCTTTCCAAACCACTCTATTCTCACCCTACACTTCTCTTTCCAAACCAAGCCACACTCTTCTTGTTTTCACCCATCTCATTCCAAAACCATGTCATTCTTTTCTCATTTTCCCCCTCTTTTTCCAAACCGCTCTTTTCTTGTTCCCTTCTTTTTCCAAACCGCTCTTTTCTTGTTTCCCTCTTTTTCCAAATCAGTCTTCTCATTTCCCTCTCTTTCCAAACCATTCTTCTCCTCCATTCTCCCAACCACTATCACCCTCTTTCCCAACCATTCACTTTGTGTTCCCCATTCTTTCTCTCTCTCAACCACTCATTGGCCCCTCTCTCCTGACTACTTTGTTCTTGTTCCCACATCTCTCTCACTTTTTATTTTTCTACTTTCTGTGTTACCTATTATCTTGTCCTGTATGTTTTTCTCTCTACCTGAATATCTTAATTTTATACATTTGAGTTTTCCATCCTCCTCCTCCTCCTCTTTCTATCCTGTTGCCTTTTTTTGTCACTCTTTCTCCTTTAATTCAGTTGTCCATCACAAGGCACTAAAGATAAAGAACATCAGAATAAGCCTTATTAAGAGCAAATTGACAATGCCTACTGCCTCTCTGCATCGTAGTCCTTCATCCCACTTTGCATCCATCCATCCATCAATTTTGCCAAGGTTTCCATAATCATTTCCTATTCAATTTCTCTGGTGGCTTCTCCAATTGGCAGCATTTCGAGTGAATTGAACGATTCCTCTGAGGAGAGCTTGGAAAATGGCAATGGGAACTACAAAGGAGTGTCTGTGGTGATTGTTATCACAAGAGAGTATGAGGTTCCCTTTCAGAGGAAAGTCAAAGATAGGATGAAGGTAAGAAGGAAACAGGAAGAAGATTAGTGAGGAAAACAGGAACAGTTATATAGAAGAGAAACAAAGAGAAGAAAGGAAAGGGAGAAGAAAAGGAATTGATAAAGAGTAAGAAAGGGGGAAAAGAAAGGAGAGAAAGGAAAAGAAAAGGAAAGAAGAGGAGAGCAAAGCAGAGGGTGGAGGAGAACAGGGATGAAAATGGGGAGGAGAACAAAGCAGAGAGTGGGTAAGAGAGCAAAAATGAAAATGAGAAGGAGAACAAGAAAGAGTAGGAAGGAGAACAAAGCAGAGAATGGGGGAGTAGAGCAAGATTGAAAACAAGGAGAGCAAGGCAGAGAATGGGAAGGAGAGAAAAACAGAGAATGGGAAGGAGAGAAAAACAGAGAATGGGGAACAGAGCAAGAATGACACTAGGGAGGAGAACAAGGCCCCCTCTGAATGAGGCAGAAACTGCAGGAAAAGCCAAAAAAAAATAAATAAAAGAGGGAGGTAAGTAAAAAAGAGATAAGAACATCTGGAATTCAAAAAAAAAAAAGTAGCAAGAAAGATAAAATTCTACGAGAAATAGAATGCCAAAAACAAATTAACAAAAAACATTTCCAACAAAGATACGTTCCCATTTTTCATTATCTCCAATTAACTATTCATCAAGCGATAATCATTCTCGCTTGTTTGTCAAATAGTTATTTCCCAATTCCAAATCTTGTCTAAAAATATCCACACTACCAGAAAAGGAAAAACCTTGACAGAGATAAAAGTGAAACAAAAAGATTCTTTCCTTCAAGAAAAGGCTCAATAACCAGCAAGACAAAAATACAAAGAGATATCGACTGATTAAAAACAAGAAATAACCTAAAGATGCCTTTTATTTATTTATTTCTGGAAGTTGCATAAAAAGAATATGGGATAGTATTCATCAGATTTTGCCGAAAAAGGAAGGAGCATACAATTTACTTTGACTAATGCAATGGAAATATTGTTATATTAATAAGTATGGACGCATTTCTATACAAACTAATAGATATACACTACAGCCAAAAAGTTTGGAGCCACCCTGCATTTATTTGAAAAACAACTTAAAATGAGCTATTTTTTGTATTTTTTTTTTTTTTTAAAGTAAAAGATAAAATTTCAATAACTCCAGTGAATTTGCTTTTATTGTTCAGTCTTTCTCCAGGCTTCTTTTACTAGCAAAAAAGTTCAAATTTGGATTCGTATGTCCACAATATATTGTGCTGAATTATAAATATTTTGTATGAGAAATATTATAATTTTGTTTGCATCAACTTGGACTTTTTAAGATTACCAAAAGTTTCAACTAAGTTAAATGTTAATACAGGATCTAAATGTTAACTCAGTACTGACTAATTCTGTAAGTCAGTTATGTGCCATGGATGATACACACGGAGGCGATCAAATATCTTTTGATACATGACCAACCAGCAGATTTTTTCTTCCTGCAGTAGGTTGCCATTTCTTTCTGTGGTAGACCAGTTGACATCCAAGGCTATAGAACCTGGTATGTCCTGCTACTTACCCATAGCTGGGGGAAGAAGAAGAAGAGTCATACCTTTCCCAAGAGTATTAGCACATAAGTGAATATAATGGATTCGAATGGAATTTGAACACGGCTTCCTGATTGCTCAATTCAAGCCACTATTCATTATTTCACCGAAAAAAAACCTTTATAGCTGTTTCTATTTAAAAAATATGATTGTGTCATTAAGACACTATTTAAATAACTTTAAATTTATTTCTTAATTTTTAATAATTTGTATAAAATGGCAAAATCAAAGCAGCTAAGTACTGAGGTGAGGGCACAAACTGCAATTTTATTTAAAGAAGGTTACACTCAAAGAGAAATTGCCAAAAAGTTGAAGATTTCTAAACATAGGTTGCAATATTCATTAAAAAAAAAAAAAAAGCCAATTAAAAGCTGGTACAAATGTTGAGAGAAAAAGAACTAACATCAAAAGTAACAACTGTTGCTAAAGATAAACACATGATCATTGAGAGCAAAAGAAATAAAAGGAAAACTGCTTCACTGTATCTTGAGAGAAACCAGTGTTGCTCTTATCATTCAAAATTTTACTTAGATCAGTACATAGCCATCAAGAAGCCCCTTTTATGGAAGGTGAATAAGCAGAAAAGACTGTTTGGAGCAAAAAGCATAAGAACTGGACATTAAAAGAGGGGCAAAATGTATTTTGGAAGAACAAGTACAAATTTGGCATTTGGGGTAGTAAGAGAGAGTGTAGATAAGAAAGCCAGGAGAAAATCTGAATGTATGGTTTAAACAGTTAAGCATGGCAGTTGGTCTGTTATGGTATATGTGTGTGTGTGTGTGTGTGTGTTGGGGGTACTGCAGATTTGATTAAAGTTAGGTTCCTACACTTTTTCAAGGGAAGACAGCATAGCATAATGAAAAAGGCCACATACTTAATGAAAATAAAGTATTATCGTCAAAATGTTTGTTATTAAGACGAAAGATCAAAGTATTTTTTGATTATTTTTTAAAAATTTCTTAATCCTTTCTAACACGTTTGAAACTGTGGTTAAAAATCTTGTTTTGTTTATGTCAATGGGGTGGCCTAATAATTACATGAACTTTTTTTGCACCTTTTTTGCAGTGAAAATACACTGATTTGGAAATTCTTACAAAAAACAAATAATTGTCAGATTTTAATGAAACTTTCAGGATGTATTCACAAATGAATCAAATTATTTTTTAAATTTTTTGTTTTAGAAAATTTTGGTAAAAAATATATATATTTATTTCTTTTTACATGTTTCCCCCACTTAATTTCATAAAATTTTGTGAAAGACCTTTCTATTTCCTGAATTTGTTTTATTAGTTAAAAGTAGGACTCCTTGGGGAACGTAAATCATCAAATTTTTTTTAAAAACTTTCACTATTCTAACTGAAAATCTGCTCTGAATTGTAAAATAATGAATGCAATAAAACTTTATCTTTATTTTAATTTCATCTGTTATTAAATTTTAAAATTAATTTAAGAAAATTTTATAGTACTTCAAATTTTTTTATTCTTTCATAAAACATCTTCAAACATAACTAAAAGTCAATAAAATATTAAGTAATTGCTGAAAATATCTTAATTTGTAAAAATTAATAGGTAGTTAAAAATGAAAAAAAATTCTTTGATTTTGTAAATTTATGTCAGTTCTGGTCAGCCATACTGTCATCGCTTCATCACTCAATCGTCCATCAATCATCACCTCCGAAAAACAGGACCAATCATTAAGAAAATGTTTGTATATTACTTTTTTATGCTATAAGTAAGTAATATTTATTTCAAATCAGATTAGTTTAACTTTAAATTTGCTAATTTTATTCAAATAACATGTCACAAATATATATTTTACTTTAGGAAGGTTTTTAAAACGGAAAATTTTGTTTTGTTCACAAATTTCTTAGAATTAAGAAAATGGTGGCCACTTTTAAGAAAAAAAAAAAATCAATTGAATATTTGACATTCCAATCTATATAATTTCTATTTGAAACACACCAGAATATTTTACTTAGTGAAATAAATTTAATCATTTAGCCTTCCATTAAAGCTAAAATGAACTCTTCAAGAACGTTTTTTTTTTTTTCATTTATAAAAATTCATTTTAAACCTTAGGTATCGAAAATTTATGCTGAAAGAGTGGAGGTACTGATTGAAGTCAGAAAAATGATTTATGTTAAACGGCTTAAAGCTTTTTTTTTTAATTCAGTTCATCCCAAACAAGGCAGTAAACCACTAAGGCAGATCAATTATGACAGAGTAGAGAGTTTGATCCTCACTTGGTGCCCATATTTTCAGCCTTGTGTCACATCTATGCTAAGCTTAAAAAAAAAAAAAAAAAAAATCACCATTCTTTATTAAAATGGTTTTACTTGGTAATTACTTGACTAGAAAAATAATTGACTGAACACTTGAACAGAAGAAAATGCTATCATTTGCAAATGTTGTTTCTGTTATTTCGCAAATTCTACAAAGGCTTGTGATATTCAGTACATGTCTGTCCATCATTTCACTTTTAGTGGTGGGCAGAATATATTATATTAAATCTAAATTGTGGTAAAAAAAAAAAAAAAGATGATACTAGTAGTATGCAAATACATTTAGTGTTTAACTCCTTTTAATGTTTGTTTACTCTTTTCCTTAAATGTTTTGCCAATGTATTTTTGGAGTTAGATTCTAATTGGTTGACTCCTACTTCTAATGCAAGATTATCTCTGAGAGACATTAAATTTTTTATCTCTTTCTTGAAGTGTTTCTGATTAGTTTTATGTTGAGATTAGCTAAATTCTGCTTAAGTTCATTAGCTATAGAGTTCGTAGATAAAATAATGAATGCATTTTTGCGTTGTCATTTATCCCTTTGGTTTTATATGTCACATATACATACTGCATAAGAACACATTATTTCGACTTATTAAATGACAGTCTGATTAGAAGCAAAAAGGATTCAGTAAGAGGAAATTCCATTGAGAATGTGCTGATCTCACAATTCACAACAAAAAAAAAAACTAAAACCAAGACCATAAATAATATGACCAAAAAAAATGCAATGGTAGCACAATGCAGTACAAGTTATTTATTTACTAGAAATATGGTTTTCCTATTTGAAACTGTAATGCACTCATCTTATCCTTTAAATATCAACTTAAGCACGAACACCAGTCACTCTCCAACCTGCCCAGCTTTTTCCCCCACCTTACACTTCTTTTCCATGTTCACCCACTTACTACTTCACATTCTGCCCACCACTAAAGGTGAGACGATGGACAGACATGTACTGAATATCACAAGCCTTTGTAGAATTTGCGGAATAACAGAAACAACATTTGCAAATGATAGCATTTTGTTCTGTTCAAGTGTTCAATCAATTATTTTTCATCAAGTAATTACCAAGTAAAATCCAAAATTTCCTCATATTTTGATGAATCTTACTTCTTAAGTTAATGATTGAAAAAGCTCAGGGCAAGAGATCTATGACATAAAAATGTATAATAGAAATTCCTTTATTGTATAATACTTGAGCTTAACTTTAACAATAAAAAAATTTGAAATTTACAACTTTTTCCATTTCACTGAAAAAAAAAAAAAAGAAAAAGAAATTTAGACATAGGACAGTGTTATTGCATCTACTATCTTTCTTTCATTTTTTCATTGAAACTAAGTATCATCTCTAATATGTCTTGTCAGTCTTTCCATGCAAGCAAAATGGAGTAGTCCATTATTTACAAGGAATTGGCAGGACATAACAGTTATGCTAAGTATGTAATGGAGAGTCATGCATAAAATTATTCTATTCAAAAGTTGATCTTAAAATTCATTGAATATGACAAAAAGTTATATATCGTAATAATATATATATATATATATATATATATATATATATATATATATGAACATTGAAGTCAATACTCAGAGGCAACAAGCTGTTTCAAACTAGACATGATTGTATTGTCAGATGGCCTGACAATTGCATCTAGCATGAAACAGCCTGTCGCCTCTGAGTCTTGACTTCAATGTTCACACACATATATATTAGTTAAATTCCCAGATGAATATATATATATATATATATATATATATATATATGGAGGCACGGTGGAGTAATGGATACCGCTTGGATTGAGGAATCGCAGAGCTGAGTTCAATTCCAGTCGAATCCATTACATTCACTTACGTATAATACCCTTGGGAAAGGTATGAATCCTTCTTACTCTCCTCCAGCTATGGGTAAAATAGCAGGACAGATTGGGTTCTATAGTCTTGGATGGCAACTGGTCTAGGAGAAGGACAACTCTGAATTCAAAACCTGAGGAGGGTCGTTTGGCAACCTCGTGGCATTCGGTGCACCAGGTCTCTGTATTCGTCCCTTCAAAAAGTGTGGATGGTCCTGCACGAGGCCTTCACCACTATAATCAAATCTCATGTGCCGGTGTCGGGCTGTCGGTTTCCTGGAAACTGATCTGCTTGACCCTCATACGTTGAATCTCGACGGGAGAGTCGATTATTATTATTATTATTATATATGCCAGGATAAAGAACAAGTAGAGAAGAGATTTTAATCTAACATGTTTTACTTTATTAAAGCTTTGTCAGAGATCAAGATAGTAATGATAAAAGTGATAAAAAATTATGAGATGCAAATTAATGGTATGTTGTCTTTGGCTATTTCTATTGGTCAGATAAGTGTCATGTGTAATGAAGTATGAGATAACATTCAAATATATGCAACAAACATTCTGGACACTAAAGTGTGTAAAAGCTAGTGAGATGCAGTAGAATGTTTTGAGTGGTTATTTCTTATTGGTTAGATTATATATATATATATATATATATATATATATATAGGATTCATACCTTTCCCAAGGGTATTAGCACGTAAGTGAATGTAATGGATTCGACTGGAATTCGAACTCAGCTCTGTGATTCCTCAATCCAAGTCGGTATCCATTACTCCACCGTGCCTCCATATATATATATATATATATATATATATATATATATATATATGTAATATATATGTAAGTAATTGCAAACAAGAGAGTTGAAGCAACAGATATGAGGTTCTACAGAAGGATAAGGAGGAAACCATAGAGTATACATGCAACAAGAAAGTTTAAGAGAAAATGAAAACAATAAGGAAACTTATACTGTACATTAGAAAGAAATAGTTGAAATTTCTAGACCACACAATGAGAAAAGAGGACTTGGCAAATCTGATACTCACAAGACAGATTGAAGGCAAGAGGGACAGTGGAAAACAATGCATAACCTACTTGGTGAGCTTGAGGAAATGGCTGGTGGAACAGGGTTTGCAAGAAATAACAAAAAGGCAAAATTTATTAAGAGCTGCAAAGAACAGGAAATTTTGGAGAGCCTTCATCCTGAAGGGACATGGAACAGAGAAGAAAATGGAAAGACTTCACATGTGAGATCAAGTGTGGTGTGCAAGCAGGAAAAAAATAAATATATTTCAACAGAAAACAAAAACTAAGGAGTTGACATTTATCTCAACTTGTATTCTTATTTATTATTTTTATTCTATTTTGAAAATGTTTTCTTATTAAAAAGGAAAGAGTATTTCACTGTCAGACATGACTAGAAAAGGTTTCAATTACCTGCTTCACCTCCCCACACCAAAATGTTAATACCTTTACATTAGCTGGAAATAGATACATTCCTCCCGACCACAGCACAGGAAAGATTTTTAATTTTGTACATTTTACATTGTCAAGACATACAATAGAACCCATGGTGAAGGAACAGGTTGTTGTCATGACAACAATTGCATTGTCGTATTTGGGAATGGATGCAAGTTTTGAGCAACACCTGAGCATAAATTGTTATGACTGTGCTCTCAAGTCCATTCAAACGCTAAGGTAAATTACCTGTGAGGAGTGGTAAGAGGAGGAGGAGAATGAAGAGGATAGAAGGAAAGTTAAGAAAAAGGGGAAGTAAAAACAATAAAGAGAAAGTGCAAAGAAAAAGAGATGAGGAAAGTAAAGCGAAGTGAGAGAAGAATAAAGTCTCAGAAGAGGAGGAGATAAAGAAGATGAAGTGAGAAGGAGAGTGAAGACAGAAAGAAAAGACAAAGTACAATTAAAGTATGAGCAGATAGAAACTGATAGAATGAAGTAATTGATAAAGTATGCTCACAGAGAAAGACTGGAGACTTCCGAGAGCCACAGAAAAAGGCCGGAGACTTCTGAGAGCCGCAGAAAAAAAACAGATTTCCAAGAGCCACAGAGAAAAACAAATCAATTGCTGATTTCAGACAAATTTGGCAATTCCATTACATTTTCTTTATTACTATTTCATTTTTTTTTTTTTACTACTGTTCAGTCAATATAAGGCCCAGGAGCCACTTAGGATAGAGGGTTAATGAATAAGATTGTTAGAAGTAGATAATGGTTGACTTGAGACAAAGAAGTTAAAATTGAAGTGAGCATGAAAGTATCCTCACAGGAGTCTGTTCCACAAAGTATTGCAAAGATATACTGGACTATTATCATATTCAACATATAAGGGTACATGAGGCTATAGAACCCAGCCTGTCCTGTTATTTACCCATAGAGTGGGGAGAAGATGGATTCATACCTCTCCTAAAAATATTTGCAGGTAAGTGAATGTAAATTACCATCAGTACTAAACATGATAAAACACAGAGGAACACCTGTCAGGAGAAATTAAGTGATCATATGCTATACACAATGGCACCTTTGGATACACAGTGAATTAGTCTGGCAATTGATTGTAATTTAAATGCCTGCCTGTAATTTTCCTTCAGATTGAAAGAGATACTGGACAACCAGTTACTATAAAATCAAGAATATACATGTAGAAATATTGTGTCAACAGCATTCCTAAATCATATTTGGTTATGTAGCCAAATAAACTTTTAAAATAGTTTTCAGTCTATATAATTATTAAAAATTAGTTTCATTTATAGCAAGAGATCAAAGCAGAGGACCAATTGTTATATTTTACTTTTTGTTTCCTGTATATACCTGAGTATAGTGTGAGTACTATACACAGGTAGTGTTTTGAGGAGATTGAAAATCAAACATCAAACACTTTTAGTTATTGTAACCTACTTGGTAGGCTTACATTCTCACAGTATCTTTGGTTAAACATGAATGAAATGAAAAGAAACTTAGGCTACATAAGAGACAGGACCCCGGGTAAAGCAGCTACCGTAATCAGACATGAACAAAAACAAAAGTGAGGTATCTAAATCTTTGTATCAGATAATTTACATTAAGTATTTTTATTTTTTTTTAGGGGAGTGTTGTAAAAAAAAAGAATAAAGACCATTTATTTGCTATAAAATATGTCCAGGATGACGTGCAGTACTGCAATATTGGACTAAAGTAAAGCTACTAGTATTGCTCAGAAGCTGGGGTCATATATACACAAGCTATATAAAAAAATATGTTTTCCACAGCAAAATTCAGGGGTCACACTATACATGAAAATAAGTTTATACATGAGTATATACAGTAACTGATATCCTTCAGGTGCCAGTTTAAATTGACAACTGTTTTTTCCGTATATTGTGACCGTTTTCTTTAAAGTTCATATTTTCCTGATTTCTGATGAAAATCTGGCAATTTTCCAACATAATTCAGTGAAATTTTAAATTTGCAAAATCATAGTTTAGATATGTAGGGACAAAAAGGTGTCCTAAATTTTTTTTTCTTTTTTTGACAGCACAGGTAAGCTTTTAAAATAATAATAAATCAACAAAAATCAAAGAGAAGTGATTGAATGTTCCACCTACCGGGTGTAGATAAAAAACTCTGCTGTTTATCCAAAATAAAGGTCATGGCGCTTCATCTATAAGCACTTGTAATCAAGCATTCTCAGGAAGAGTAGAAAAGAACAGACACATGTGCATTTACCTGCATGTATTCAAGCAAACTTATGACAAACCACAGGTCACTGGTGTTGTTCCGACACAACAGACAACTCCGAATTGTGTGTCAATGCCAGATTCAATTGTAAGGAATCGCATCAGATGACATCCAGGCAAAAGGAAAAGACAACGGTCAGTAGAATTCATTACTGACCGGGTGGTTAGCTAGTGTCTGAATTTCTGCCTCTGCATGTCAACAAAGCAGACAAGTCCATAAAAGAGGATAAAGATTGAAAAACAACACGAGGAAGAAAAAAAACAAAAAACAAAAGCAAAAGAATGAATGTCAGAGCTAACAACATAAATGGAAATACTTTATGGCCATGTTGGTGAGGAAATAGAAAGATAGAAAGATGGAAGGAGTGAAAAGAAGGAAAAAGAAGGAAAAAAAAGTAAAAAAAAAGGAAAGAAAAAAGTGAAAGAAAAACAAAGGAAAAATGAGATATAAAAGCAAGGCAAGAGAGAGAAAGACAGAGAAAAGAAGGAATGGTGAAAGGAGAAGGAAGAAAGGGAGAACAAGGAAAAGAAAAAAGAAGAGAGAGAACAGAAGAGAGAGAACAGAAGAGAGAGAACAGAATAGGGAGAGGAGGGAGTATAGAGAAAAGTGAGATAGAGAAGATGAAGGACAAAGAGATGAAGGACAGAGAGAGAGAACAAAGACGACAAGAGAGAGAGAGAAAGGTAAGGGAGACGAGAGGACAAAGAGAAGAAAATGGAGAGAGAGAAGAGAATGGAGAGAGAGAAGAGAATGGAGAGAGAGAAGAGAATGGAGAGAGAGAAGAGAATGGAGAGAGAGAAGAGAATGGAGAGAGAGAAGAAAATGGAGAGAGAGTGAGAGAGGCCAAAGAGAAGAGGCGGGAGAGAGAGAGAGAGAGGCCAAAGAGAAGAAGCGGGAGAGAGAGAGAGAGGCCAAAGAGAAGAGGCGGGAGAGAGAGAGAGAGGCCAAAGAGAAGAGGCGGGAGAGAGAGAGGCCAAAGAGAAGAGGGCGGGAGAGAGAGAGAGAGGCCAAAGAGAGAGGCGGGAGAGAGAGAGAGAGGCAAAGAGAAGAGGTGGAGAGAGAGAGAGGCCAAAGAGAGAGAGGCGGGAGAGAGAGAGGCCAAAGAGAAGAGGCGGGAGAGAGAGAGGCCAAAGAGAAGAGGCGGGAGAGAGAGAGGCCAAAGAGAAGAGGCGGGAGAGAGAGGCCAAAGAGAAGAGGCGGGAGAGAGAGAGGCCAAAGAGAAGAGGCGGGAGAGAGAGAGGCCAAAAGAGAAGAGAGAGGCCAAAGGGAGAGAGAGAGAGGCCAAAGAGAAGAGGAGAGAGAGAGAGAGAGGCCAAAGAGAAGAGGAGAGAGAGAGGCTAAAGAGAAGAGGAGAGAGAGAGAGAGAGGCCAAAGAGAAGAGGGAGGGAGAGAGAGAGAGAGAGAGAGGCCAAAGAGAAGAGGGGAGAGAGAGAGAGAGAGGCCAAAGAGAAGAGGAGAGAGAGAGAGAGAGAGAGAGGCCAAAGAGAAGAGGGAGAGAGAGAGAGAGGGGGCTAAAGAGAAGAGGGAGAGAGAGAGAGGGGCCAAAGAGAAGAGGCGGAGAGAGAGAGAGGGCCAAAGAGAAGAGGAGAGAGAGAGGCCAAAGAGAAGAGGAGAGAGAGAGAGAGGCCAAAGAGAAGAGGGGGAGAGAGAGAGAGAGAGAGAGAGAGGCCAAAGAGGAGAGGAGAGAGAGAGAGGCCAAAGAGAAGAGGAGAGAGAGAGAGAGAGAAAGAAGAAGAGAGAGAGAGAGAGGCCAAAGAGAAGAGGGAGAGAGAGAGAGCCAAAGAGAAGAGGAGAGAGAGAGAGCCAAAGAGAAGAGGAGAGAGAGAGAGGCCAAAGAGAAGAGGAGAGAGAGAGAGGCCAAAGAGAAGAGGAGAGAGAGAGAGGCCAAAGAGAAGAGGAGAGAGAGAGAGGCCAAAGAGAAGAGGAGAGAGAGAGAGGCCAAAGAGAAGAGGAGAGAGAGAGAGGCCAAAGAGAAGATGCGGGAGAGAGAGAGGCCAAAGAGAAGAGGTGGGAGAGAGAGAGAGGCCAAAGAGAAGAGGTGGGTGAGAAAGTACAAACAGAAGAGGTAGAAAACATGAAAGAGAGAGCAGATATGAGATAGACAAAAAAAGTGAAATGAAACTATAAATGAGAGAGAGAAAGAAAGAAGAGATGAGAAGCAAAACACAAAAGAGGGAAAATGCAAGAAGCTAACAGGGAAGTGTAGAGTGAATCAGCAAAGAAAAAGCAGAGGCAAGCAGACCTCAGAGAATAGACTAAGATATCTCTGACATAGAAATCTTAAAAAGAAAAAAACAAAAACTAAAAGAACCATCAAATTATACCAAAGTACAAAAACTGTAGCAAATTTATATCTTTGTTTTTATTTTGCTTGTTTTTCTAAAAGGTGTAAGACAGCCTTCCATATTCTTTGATAAATTTTAGTTAAGTATGCTTTCATTCAAAGAATGACTTTGCCTAAAAGGTAAGATGGCAACGTACCTGATGCACCAAACAAAGGAGGTATAAAATAGGGATGTGAAAATGGAAGAAAAATAAAATCAATCTGGCTAAATTCTAGAGAATGTATTTTCAGAGTCAAAAACAAAGAAATTATGGTATAAAAAGGAAATTTTCTTTTAAAGGCAAAAAATGCATGGAAGAATGAAGAGGGGTCAGGAACATGAGGGAATGAAAGGAGGAATCAATTTCAAAAGGGACGAAAGAAGGAATAGGTCAAAAAGAAATAAGGACAGTTTAATTGAAGGAGACAAATACAAAGTTCAAAAGACAGAGAGAAAAAAATAAAAATGAGACAGAGAGATGAAGGGAAATGAGAAGACAAAAAAAAAAAAAATTGTGAACAAATGAATCAACTAAAACAAAAAGAAAAGTCAAGTAAAATAGACAATGGAAGAATAAATCATGTTTAAAAGTTTTCATTGCCAACAGAGAGAATAAAAGAGAAAGAAAAAAAGAGAAAGGAAAAAAGAAAGGAAAAGAAAAAGAGAGAAAGGAAAAAAAGAGAGGAAAAGAAAAAGAGAGAAGGAAAAAAGAGAGGAAAAGAAAAAGAGAGAAGGAAAAAGAGAGGAAAAGAAAAAGAGAGAAGGAAAAAAGAGAGGAAAAGAAAAAGAGAGAAGGAAAAAAGAGAGGAAAAGAAAAAAGAGAGGAAAAGAAAAAAGAGAGGAAAAGAAAAAAGAGAGGAAAAGAAAAAAGAGAGGAAAAGAAAAAAGAGAGGAAAAGAAAAAAGAGAGGAAAAGAAAAAAGAGAGGAAAAGAAAAAAAGAGGAAAAGAAAAAAAGAAAAGAAAAAAGAGAAAAAAAAAGAGAGGAAAAGAAAAAGAGAGGAAAAGAAAAAGAGAGAAGGAAAAAAAGGAAAAGAGAGGAAAAGAAAAAAAGAAAGAGGAAAGAAAAGAAAAGAAAGAAAAGAAAAAGAGAAAGAAGAAAGAAAAAGAGAGAAAGAAAAAGAAGAAAGAAAAAGAGAAAAGAAAAAAGAGAAAGAAAAAAGAGAAAAAAAAAAGAAAAAAGAGAGAAAGAAAAAGAAAAAGAAAAAGAGAAAAGAAAAAGAGAGAAAGAAAAAGAGAGAAAAAAAAAAGAGAGAAAGAAAAAAAAGAGATAAATTACAAGATGAAATGAATTTACAAAGACAAAAGACTGACTGTAATCAAACTGAAATATCAAAAGGATCAAAAAGTCTCCAAACATTGCAAACACTTTGCTTGTCTTGATCTCTGATTTCTATTTCATTCAGTTTTGTTTTTTATAAATTCATTTCAGAGAAAATGTTGGAAGAAAGAAGGAAAAAGAAAAAATGCAAAGAAATTAAAATGAAAAAAAGAAGTAAAGAGAAAAAAAGAAAATTAAAGATAAAAAATAAAGTCAGAAGTCAAAAGAAGAAAATAGAAAAGACAAAAGAAAAAAAATCAAAATAATAAAAATTCAAAAGAAAAAAAAAGAAAAGTCAAGAGTAAGAAAATAAGAAAAAAGAAAAGTCAAAAGAAAAAAAGAAGTCAAAAGAAAAAAAGAAGAAAGTCAAGAGAAAAAAATGAAGAGAAAAGAAAAGTCAAAAGAATAAAAAAGAAAAGTCAAAAGAATAAAAAAGAAAAAGAAGTCAAAAGAAGAAAAAGAAGTCAAAAGAAGAAAAAGAAGTCAAAAGAAGAAAAAGAAGTCAAAAGAAGAAAAAGAAAAAAGTCAAAAGAAGAAAAAGAAAAGAAAAAGAAAATAAAAAAGAAAAAGAAGAAGAAAAGAAAAAGAAAAGAAAAAGAAAAGAAAAAGAAAAGAAAAAGAAAAGAAAAAGAAAAGAAAAAGAAAAGAAAAAGAAAAAAAGAAAAGAAAAAAAAAAAAAAAAAAGAATAAAAAGAAGAAAAGAATAAAAAGAAGAAAAGAATAAAAAGAAGAAAAGAATAAAAAGAAGAAAAGAATAAAAAGAAGAAAAAGGTCAAAAGAAGAAAAGTCAAAAGAAGGAAAAGAAAAACAGTCAAAAGATGAAAAAGAAGAACAGTCAAAAGATGAAAAAGAAGAACAGTCAAAAAATGAAAAAGAACAGTCAAAAAATGAAAAAGAAGAACAGTCAAAAGAATAAAAAGAAGAACAGTCAAAAAAATAAAAAGAAAAGTCAAGAAAAAAGAGTTGAAAGGAGAAAAGAGAGGAGAAAGGGTGGGAAAAAGATGAAAAACTGAAGCCAACAATATTTGGAATCAAATGATCCCCCAAAATAAGCAAAAAAAGAAAGAAAAAAAAAACAAACAATAATATATGAAGAATTCTGAAAATACAAAGTGTATGAACTGGATAAAGTAAACAATAAATGACAGTTATTTCATAAAGGAAAGTCCTCGAGAAAGACCAGGAATGATAAATAAAGCTTTGATCTCTATTCAAGAAAACAAAATCAAATATGCTGTCAAGTATAGAATCAAAAATTGACCCCACTTATTTATCAGAAATAAATTTTACAATGGCAAGCATGGAGCCATTTTTGTCTTTCAACTGAGATATAGTTTTTTGTTTTGTTTTTGGAGCAAAATACTTTTTCTTCTGTGAATGTTTAGCAAAGAATTAATGAATAAAAGATAAAGGAATCTTCTGTATTCTAAAAATTATCCATAACCTTTTGATCAAATGGTATACATAAATCCCAAGAAAACTGATCCTGATCTGTAATCTTGACTTAAGTCACTTACTCACCATTGTGCTGTGGCATCCCTCTGTCTTTTCTACAAATATTTTCATGACAACTGTTCTGATTTTTTTCTTAACAACTTGACTGCATGAATTTAAGTGTACTACTAGATTAGCTTCTAGGTCTCACCATTTTACTGTTCAACTAACTACATGCAACAGCCACTTCTATTCTAACAGCTTCTTTTCTTGCACTTCACACCAGTGAAACTCTCCTCCAGTTTCTTGCTTCTGTCACCTATAATCTTCCAAAATTTAATTTCAACGTCAATCACTATCTTCTGTATTCATAAATCTCGTTCCCTACTGAAGTGTTCCCATTCTTTTTCAGTTCAAGTATATCCTTAGGTTCTAGTGGCATTATCACTTTGTTTGGGGTGAAATTATTAATATATATATATATATATATATATATTTTAAAACCAGACTGGGCTCTCATGCATTTGGTGACAGCCAGCTTAGGAGAAGGGAGAAAGAATTTTATAATTATAAATGTTACATTTAGTGTGTAGAAATGTTTAAATAATCTTGTATTTGTGAAAAAAAAAAAAAAAAAAAAAATTAACTTTTCACATTCAATGGTCATCTAACTGCAAATCTCAGGATTATCAGTCATTATTCGCCCACCTCCTTCTTTCAAACAATCTGTTCCCACGCCTCACCACTCCCTTCTCGTTCTCACCCCCTCTTTCCAGACAACTCCATTCTCGTTCTCACCTCTCTTTCCAAACCACCCTATTCTCACTTCCCACTTCTCTTTCCAAACCAAGTCACACACTTTTGTTTTCCCCCTCTCTTTTCAAGTTACTCTCTTCTCGTCCCCCCACCCCCCTGTTTAAACCACTCTCTCCTTGTTCCCTTTTTTTCCAAACCACTCTTCTCACTTCCCTTTCTTTCCAAACCACTCTTCTCACTTCCCTTTCTTTTCCAAAACCACTCTTCTCACTTCCTTTCTTTCCAAACCACTCTTCTCACTTCCCTTTCTTTTTCCAAACCACTCTTCTCTTCCCTTTCTTTTCCAAACCACTCTCACTTTCTTTCCAAACCACTCTTCTCACTTCCCTTTCTTTCCAAACCACTCTTCTCACTTCCCTTTCTTTCCAAACCACTCTTCTCACTTCCCTTTCTTTCCAAACCACTCTTCTCACTTCCCTTTCTTTCCAAACCACTCTTCTCACTTCCCTTTCTTTCCAAATCACTCTTCTCACTTCCCTTTCTTTCCAAATCACTCTCTTCTCCTCCATTCTCTTTCTCCCAACCATTTATTTATGTTAATAACACCAGTTTTGAGATGAAAAATTATTATATACTTTGCTATTTGAGCCATCATGCTGTTACAACATTTCCACCATTGTAATTACCAGCCTTCTTCAGGTGTCTATTATCACATTAGGTAACCTTGGAATATCGAACCAATCCCTTTATTCAATCCACTGGGGTAGATTGTTCTCATTCCACTTTTCATGCTAAAAGGGATATGTCATTTTAATTAACATTCGCCAATCGATTGTGTCACTTGACAGTTTCTTCCACTGAACAAGAATATATGATTTTTCAGCACTATTAGACTCAGAAAAGTTCCAATCAACACTTTAATGCACAAGGCCAAGCTGTCTGACTGGGTTGGGTTGTACTGAAAAGTCAATGAAAGAAGTTGACAAATGATACAATGGTGAATAAGATTGGTGAGTTGTAACCAATATAAAAATCCTACCCAAGACTGAGAACAATCTACCGAGACAGTTTTAACAACACATTTGGTTCAAAATACCAAGAGTATAAAAACAGACTTAATTTGTAGTGAACAGATGATATTAAATAAAAAATATATTTACTAATAGAAAAGCTTACTACAAATCAGTATTTTAAAAAGAATTTTGAATGATTTTTTTTTGTGTGCATAAATGAGTAAATTTTTGTAAATATGGACATCCATACACATCATTAAAACATAAGAATGGCAAATATAGGAAATTTAAAATTTATTGGTAATATTCTAACAATTCCTCAAATAAGCATCTTCATAAGTAAGATTAGAAAGTCAAAGTACCTAAAATTCAATAAAATATACATTACTTAGAATATTTTCCCATTTTTTTCAAGATTACTGAGCAGTTAAAAAAATTATATATAAAAAAGCATTCATGTTGTATTCGTCAAGTAATTTTTACAAATATATCTCCTATAGAAAAAATTCCCAAACATAAGTCTGTCTAGAGAGTAGTCAATATATCAGAAAACACCCAATTCCATATTAAAAAATTCTTTTCTGTGGTATTTTAAACTGAAAGTAACATTTGTTTTAAATTTGATTAATTAAACTTTAAATCACCTCATCATTTTCAAAGTTTCAGAAAAGTATATTTTTGAATGATTTTTAAATAACAAGAATCATGTTGTGTTGAGAGATTGGTAAATAGGCACGATTTTTACTGATTTTAATGATAAAAAACAAATATTCCAATCAATTTAAATACAGTTTTAAGTACAGCAAAGTATTTTGCTTATTGGAAATATTATATTTAATCTATTAGCTTGAAATCTCTCTCTCTATATATATATATATATAAAACAGAAGATGTCTGTGTGTGTGTGTGTGTGTGTCTATCTGTGCAATACCTTTTCACTCAAGATCCATCCAACCGATTTTGACCAAACTTGGCACAAATATTGCATAATGTAAGAGATAGGTTCTTAGCATAAAAAAACAATAATTTTAAAACATCAATAATCGATAAAGCCGATCAAAAATTGATAAATTAAACTTTTTTCATCTGATTTCATTCAAACTTGGTATGCAGGTTACTAAAATCATGATGAGCTCAGCAATACCTCATTTTTATTTCTACCCCACTACATTTAATGAAAAACAAAAAAAAAAAAAATCAATTTCAACACAAATTTTAAACTAAAACTCCCTCAATTTTCAAGCAATCTAATACAAACTTCCCTCAATTGTAGGCAAAAATAAGTTGATTGTTTAACAGTCATATAACTTGATAATTGAGTCTGCCCATATAGTGAAAATCTAAATAGCGAAAACTGGCAATTTTTACTGGTTTCTTCCTTATTTTTTGTTGATCTTTCAACCAATTTTTGTCAAACTTAATAATTGCTTTATAAATGTATCCTCCTTTACGTCCCTGGCAGCATACAGACAAATTAAATTTGAAAAACACCAAAATAATTGTGGGTCTTCCTGTTGCCTGTTTTACCCCTTCATGTCCTTGGCTAACTTCAATTGAATAAATACAGAAGACTGCATTAATTCAAAATGTTTTTTTTAATGAAACTATTTTAAAGTAATTGAAGACAAACTGACTCTTACATCTGAACATGATGCTGTTTTAGCTCCATTCTAATTGAATGCTTTTTCTGATCGACCAGCTGGTTAGTTAAAACTAAAATAAAAGCTTCAAGAAAGGTTTTACATTTTTAAAACTGCATTTTAAACCATAGGTATCACATTTATTTGGAGGTACATAAAAAATCCAATAATAATAACAAAAGTTGATAAGTTCATCTATTATATGGTTCACATGCCTCCCTGGTCATTTCAACAGGAGTAGAGGTTGTGCCTGATTTTCTGGGATGAGGCATTATCATTTTTCCTACAATTTATATTCAGACTATTGTCCTCATTTTTATTGTTATTGCAACATTTTGACTGTTGTGTCTTCCAGCCTTCCATCAACATTGGTTTGTGAATTTGGTGACATAGTGATTGTGAGTTCAATCCCTTTAAGCTACACCGGAGGTTAAATAAAGAATCAGAATTGCCTGTAGGTTACCCAGACTGATGTACACCTGAGGAAGGCCAGAGGGCACAACAGCCAAAATGTTGTGATAACAACAACAAAAATGAGGACAATAGTCTAAATATAAATAGTGTAAATAGAATAGAGTTTTATCATTTGTTTCCTGTTTAGGACTGGGTTTCTAGTGACATCTAAGTTTTTCTTTATTCTATTACCCTCCTAGTAACCACTTAGTGGTATCATTGACTTGTCTGGGGTGAATTGATTAAAAAAGTCCATCTGGAGATGCTTAGTACTCAGAGTTTCAGACCAGCCATGATCTTAATCATCTGAAGATCATGATTAACATGAAACTCCAAGTAGCAGATCGGTGTCCATGAACGGATTCTTGCTTGTTGTTATTGTCACAGACATGTCATAATTTGGCACCCCATTTTGGTTCTCTTAATTTTATAGACAATAAGCACTGTTGATTTCTGGCAGCTGTCCGTTTCTTTTTGGCAGGCTTTGCGTCTGCAGATTTTTTCATAATTATCCTGTTACTTTGTTTATTTTGGTAAATACGCACGGTGTCCCTGCCAAAATTGACATAATTTAGTAGGTTAGTAACATAGCCAATTCTCGCTCAAATAATCTCAAATTTTAACAAAAATGTATAAAATCTAAGTTGAGTAATGCATACTAATCTCTAGGAGAACATACCAGCAAAATAGATTAAGCATGCCAATGATAATGACAATGTGTAATCAAAATAGCTACCATGTTCACTTGACACGTTCTGATGTTTTTTCTCTATAGGTCTATGAGAAAGGACACGTCTATATCCCTCCTCTTCCTGTAAGCCTAGAGGAACTTAAGTGGATAATCAATGAGGCACTGGAGAATTTTACGCAAGATACGCTACAGCCTTGACATGTGTCATGTCACAGGTGGTGCAGATATTGTGAATCTTTGTGAAATTGGTTATAAAATATACATCCCTTTGATTATCTTGTTTACATTTTGATAAATAAATCTTTTATTGTTCAACATACTTAATTTCATTTGCCTGGGATATGTAGTTACTCGGATATTCAGGTCAATTTTTTGAACACCATGTATGACAAAATACACTTCCTACGAAAATAAACGGTCTATCTACACCCAAACAATGGTGTTAATATGGGCAACCCTCTTAAGTCCTACCTTGTCTAACTTTTACATAATACAAGTTAAAAACAATAAAACAATTTATTCAGCTATATATATATATAGCTATATATATATATATATATTCTGCACAAGCCTTCATCACTTTAATCAAATCACTTGTGTGGGTTTTCTGGTGGTTTACCTTGATTCATTCTTATCCTACAGGAATGTAGGACGCCCATGGCTAAGATACAAAGACAAGCTGAAAAGCAACTTGTCAGCAGTCAATATACCACATAACTCCCTTGAGTGCTCAGCCTTGGAGCGGGTAGAATGGAGATCAACATGTTTTAGTGGACTCAGCAATTTTCAATCTGCTTGTATGAATCACCTTCAAGAAGTGAGAGCAAAATCTAAAAGGTCAGCCAATCTAACAGTGATCTCATCTCACAATTCTCACACCTGCTCCATATGTGGCCTCCTTTGTAAATCACTAGCGGGTCTTAAATGCTGCTTAAGATTATCACACAAAATTTCATAACTGAATCAATAAGCTGTCAGATCCTCACACGTTGAAACTGATGGGAGAGTCCATTATATATATATAATCTGGGTGAAGGTTGTGGCACAGAGGTGACCACATGGAGAGGGTCAGATACACAGAGGAGACTAAGGGAAGATGGGGTGACACAGCTGATCTTGAAGAGTGTGGGTGGACACAGACGTTTGAATAAACTGACAGAATTAAAAAAAAAAACAAAAACAAATCAGAAGAGTTAGTAAAAGACAAACATAGGTGGGTAACCTATACATTCTTTTCTTCATTTTTAATGGCCATTTCTATTTACTACATGGGCAATCTTGCACTCCCCAGCTTTCTCTTCTTTAATATCTTTGAACTGCCATAACTTCTTGGAGAAGATTCCTGTTCAGTTACATTCTCCATGTTTTGAATTCAACGCTGCCATTCTGCTAGACAGGCTGCCAAACAAGACTAAAAATGTCCAGTCTACACTGATATTTGTAACCTATAAAACAGATAGCCATAGATACAAGATGTGAAATAAACTTGTCAGTTGAAGTGTTAATGGAAACAAGTAAAGAGAGAGAAGTTGGCAGAAGGAAGCAGAGAAGAGATCTCAGGTGTGTGGGCAGACACAGGTGAGACAAAACAAATTTAAAGAGATACAAAAGGAAAGTTTTGAGAGATTTAGTGAGTAAGAGAGAAATGAGAGACAAACCAAGAGTGTGAAAGAGAGAAGCAAGCCCCATGACATTTTATTGGTGTCTCTCCAAAGTGTCTTTGCTTTCCAGGAAACTGTGATGCACTCATCACATCCTTTAAACATGAACTTAAGCACGAACACCAGTCACTCTCCAACCTGC